CAACCCACTTCTCACTCCAGGCACTCTGGAGTGAGAAGCAGGCAGGGAGCAACTGACTGCTGCTCCTCCCCTCCCCTTGCAGTATATTGGAAGGGTTGGAACAGCTGTTCCCTTCCCCAACCCAGGGTGACTTCACTCTGGAAGGCAAGGGAACCTTTCCCCCAGCTCCGCAACTCCTGGTCCCCAGAAGGAGTTAAGCCAGGGGAATGTGTGCAGACAATCAAGTCTTCCAGGAGAATGATTTTTGCATTGTAGTCAGGTTATTTTCCTCCCAAAGTGGCCATTTTTGCTCCAGGAGAAAAAGCCTGAACATCTGCACACTTCTGGTTTCTCCTGGGAGAATGGCAATTTCTTGGAAAAAAAATGAACATCTGTCCAAGAAAGAGCACTTGCTTATAGCTCAGTCACTAAAGTGATAAACTCTCATCTGGCTGTGCTACAAAGGAGTTACTATCAGCTGCACATACACTGTGTAACAAAGTAACTGAAAATTATTTATACAGGATATTCATCATAAAGAAAAATTAACAAAAATTAGAGTAACCTAAAACATTGACAGTGCAAGCAGCTTGAATACAAATCATTATTAATAATTAGGTTGATAAAATTGTGTACTAAGACTTAAAAACACCCTCATAGTTTAATAAGTTACAAACGATATGAAGTTTTGTCATCTAAAGTTTTAGTCAACAAAACATGAGGTGACAAAAGATGTGTCACAAATGTATTTTCTAATATATCTGATAAAAATCATCACAACAAATTCACATTAATACTGAGTTTTCTACTAAAAGAATCAGGTGTGACAGTGAATAATTCTGAAATTTAAACTATTACTCATTAGGTTTCGGAGTTAATGATCCTACTGATGAGCAATGCAGTTCACACTTTTCAGAATCCTTGTTTCGGGGCATCTGCAGGTTCAGGACAATAATATTCATGTTCTCCACAGCTTTTTTCACAGCTACTACTACTGTAATATTGTAATCAATTAGAACGGCAATGGTAAGCATCAGTGTGAAAAGCATTTTTTTTAACTGAAAGCTTAAATTCTGGAGCATTTGAGAAACACACTGAACTGCAAAAAATATTATAGCTAATCAGAACAAGATATTGAAATTTATTTCTGATTAAATTTATCTAAGGCAAAACTATGAATACAGTTCACAAGTATTTACATTTAATATTAGTATTTAACAGATAACATATCTGGGCTACAAGAGGCTGAGGGAGCTGGGTTTATTTAGTCTAGAAAAGAGAAGACGGGGTGGGATTTAATAAGCAACCTTCAAGTACCTGAAGGATAGAGCTAGGATGCAGCTAGAATGTTCTCAGTGGTGGCAGATGACAAAACAGGGAGCAATGGTCTCAAGTTGCAGCAAGGAAAGTTTAGGTTGGATATTAGGAAACATTCTCACTAGGAGAGTGGTGAAACACTGGGGCAGGTTACTCAGAGAGGTGGCAGAATCTCCATCTTTGGAGGTTTTTAAAGCCTGGCTCGACAAAGCCTTGGCTGGGATGATCTAATTAGGGATGGTCCTGCTTTGAGCAGGGGGTTGGACTAGATGACCTCCTGAGGTCCCTTCCAACCCCAATTTTCTATGATTCTATGATAAACCTATTCTTAAAAAGTGGGCAAATTGCTTAACTCAAATATTAAGAAACAGATACCTTTCCCACACAACTGACACCTCTGTCAACAGGATGCTCATGAAAGAAGAGTATTGAAGAATAAACCACTCCCAACAGCCACACGCACGCGGGTGGGGGCGGGGGGGTGGGGTGGGGTGTTGTTGTTGTTCTTCCAGACCAACCTTAAAGCAGGCTGGCAAGACAGCATGCAAAGAATGTCCTTACCTGGATAAACAATCATAGCTCTACAGATAGTAACATTTGTCTTCAGTAACACATTGTATGCACTTAGCTATATTTTAAGTTAGGTCACAACTTGCTTACTAAGTTGCAAATGACTGCAGTACACTAAGGTAGCATTAGTCAACCTGTGGGTCTCACGAATATATGAAAGACTCATGAACAAACTTTAACAATGGATTCTCCTCTAAAGAAAAAAAAAAGTGGGAAACTGTGGCTTTTCCCTTGCAGACTGGCAGAGTTCCAGCCTGCAAGGGGCTATTGGGGGCTCCCCCTGCCCCACACACTGGGGAGCTGGGACCTGGGGGCAAGGGGCAGTGGGTCAGAACTGGCTACTGATATTTACAAATGGGTCCTGGTACAAAAAAGGTCGGGAACCACTGCACTAGGGGAATAGAAACTGGCATACGAGTCATTAATTGCTCAGATATCTTATTTGTCAATAGTAAATACTCCTAAAGATGTGTAATAATCTATAGTATTTCACCAAAAGCAGCAGCAGTGCTGCAAAGTACGATACCAAACTGTCCCTATATTTCAAATAAGTGAAACAATGACATCCATAAGATATTTTACAGGCAAAAGACTATTTACTTCACTAGAAAACATCTCTTGGTTACACCAATGCTCTAAAGTAAACAGGGATCTATTTCTCAGCTTGCTTTCTCAAAGAAGAAACATAATGGCACCTGTCACACAAAGTGACAGCAAGACAGGAAAAATTCAGATATACCAATAATATCATACAGTGTAAATCCAGCCATAAAAGTCAAGGCATGTGTGTTATTCAGTAGTCTCTCGGAGCTAAGGAGCCTGCAAAGTGTGCTTCTTTCTTTATCCGAATTCTCACTTACAAAGCTTAACAGGATCCTCTGCACAATATAATTATTAGTTCCAACCTAAAGGTATGCATGGCAAATACAGTGCATCCACGTTAATTTAATCTGCTTTAATCCAGCAAAAGAAACTACTCACAATATATGTTCAATACAGTATTCAATTCTCTCTTTAATGAGCCCTATGTAACATGATTAAGTAAAAAAAAAGTTTGATTTTTACATGGTCTCAAATGAAAAAACAATTCCCCACCCCACCCGCCCAAAAAAACCCCAAACAACTCCCCAGTGTCAGAAAAGGTGCTTTATACAGTTTCAAATCAGTGGCTGAAACATATCTAAGCCTACCCATGAAGAGATAATTGCCTTTTCCTCCAATTCTATTCTGGATATACAGTACTCAAAACCCAAACACTAATTTTTTAAAAACACTAAGAGCTGTCAAAAGATAGTAAAATGGAAGGACTTCCTTAGAATTGCTGAGAGGCCTGTGTCTGACTTCTTTCCTCTTTTTTAATAGTAAGCAAGTCATAAATAATTAGGCCACATCTAACAGAATGCACCACAGATCATTTATTTTGATAATTCTCATAATGCACCGGGTACTTTCTAAACAGAATAAGGAACACATTTGTGAATAATAGATCTCACTCACCTAGACAGAAAAGAGAACAAGAAAAAAAAAGCTACCTGACAATTGCCATGAGCAGCTGACAATGAGTGACATGAGTTACCTGAGCAGGTGACATGAGTTACCTGACAATAGGTGAAGCAGGCAAACATCACTAATGAAACAGGAGGTAGATAAGGTGAAAAGAGACAGAGGCAGGCAGGTAGTGGGGGGAGGCTGCTTTACATACTATTTTGAAGACCATGCCAAGAAGCTGAAACTTCAGGCACTACAGAAGGAGCTAGCAGAGACCATGTATGGCTAGCACAAAAGGTAAGGGAGGTATTTCACTCTCTCTTTTATACCTGGCTTTGGAGAGGAAGATTTTTGGTTTTCCAAACCTTAGTGAAGATGGGGGTGTTGCAACAACAGCTGAAAATAGAATAATCTTTATTTTCTTCTTCTTACTATGAAATTTTGGTTTCACTTTTCCACCATTTAAAATTGTTATATTTTCCTTGTTTTCAGTTTACAGGCCACTGAGAAACATTCCTGTGGTTCTAGTCTGAGAAACAGCAAGATAAAAATATCATCTTCTTACTCAAGTAATTTTGTCCATCACTTTTGTTGATTTACATAATTAAATACTAGAGCAATTAATATACTGAATAATTTAGCTCAGTTATAACAGAGCTGGCAACAAAAGAGGGAAAAAGTTAGATTCTGTCCCACCTTAAAAATAAGAAAACTCCAACATTGTTTATGAGTTCCAGTTACTAAGTGAGCTAGGAATACCACTGACACCTTACCACACATGGCAGGGCTTCGCAGGTGTGATGGGATCATTTAGTCTATAAAATCTTTATTCCCAGTGGAAATGAAGGAACTTATCTTTTTTTTTTCTCCACAATCAGAGCCCGGGATGGCTTTGCAGTTTTATTTTTAAACTGAGTAGATTTTTATTGAGAAACAGTGACAGTGAACATGGAATCCCATGCGGAACGAACATGGAATCCCATACCACTACTTCTATATTTACTTTTTTGAGAAGAACCATATTTTGAAGGCAGTAGATGCTTAAATTCATACAAATAACAAGAAGATTCTGTTAACCCTCCCTCTTACAAAAACAAGGGAACATTCAAACTCCAGCATAGGGATTAGAGAATTTTTTTCTGGGTCAGTTGTGTCAAACTTCTTCTACAAGGTTTCTCTCATCATCTTCTGAAGCAATGGTTTTCAAACATCTGAAAGTCACAGAATCCTTTCATGTCACTTTTTCTGCATGGAACCCCTGCCCCTGGCTCTGGGTTATCTCTGCTGATGTGGAGCCAGATGATCCAGTCTGGTGGTAGTGGTATACTGCTTCCCAGCCTCTTTTGCCATTACTCCCAATGTCTGTGCAGAACCCCTAATGACCCATTGTAGAACACCAATGTTCCATGACACAGTTTCAAAAACACTGTTCTGAAGCACCTGGTATTGGCTCTACTAGCAAATGATCTGAAGACTCCATAACAATTCCCATGGGGCAGTAGCTGCACAATACTCTTCTAGTACTGGCTTTTCTTCCCCCCCACTCCTCACTACATGTCATGAAGTCCAGGCATCAGCTAATTTAATCTGTAGAGAGACTGACCACAATCAACTTCCCCCACATTCCCTAATCAACAAATTCTAACCTCAAGCTTCAGGACATCATGCTGCAGTTTGCGCTGGAACTCTAAGAAGTGTGAAATAGTCAGTTTTCCTTTCAGATCAGCTCCAAAAAAGTAGGTCGTCAAAGCTGAATTGAATCCTGTTTTCAGGGTATTCCCTGTAGTGGAACGATCTCTGTGACGCATGCCCATGCTGGTTTGGGAGCGAATGATGCTTTGGACCTAACAAGAGTAAAGGGCAGAAAGTAATTAGCACAAAAATACGAAAGAGAGATGTGCACGGGCCACTACAAACTGTGCCAATTTGCTGAAGTGTTACTTTTGATAATTCTCTCCTGTGGCTAAAAAGGCTAAATAAAACATGTACAAAACACAGTTGTGGGGATGAATCAAGGAGATTATTTTACTGTTGTATGCAGGCTTCGTAAGGCTGATACTAGACTATACTGTTCTGCTATCTACATTTTTAAATGATGGATTAGAATATGAGAGTGTACTGAAAAGAGCAGCAAAACTTTTGTAAGATGGAAAATTGCTTTAGTGTGCCTTATGCAGCCTTATGCAGTTAAATCAATTTAGCTTATCAAGAAGATGACTGAGAGGTGACTTATTTACAGTATATTACATATTCTGATGGGAAGAAAATACCAGGTGCCCAAGAACACTTTAATCTGGTGCAGAAAAACCCAATGCGAACCAGTAGTAGGAAGCTGAAGCCAGACCAATTCAATTAGTAAATAAGGTAAACGTTTTCAAATAATAAGCGTGATTAACCATTGGAGCAACCTACCAAAGCCAAATGGTGGATTCTTTTATCTCTTAATGTCTTCAAGACTGGATGCCTCAACACAGGAGTAACCATGTGAAATTCTGTAGTGCTTGTTACAGAGAAGGCTCAGACAAAAGTATTCTCTGGCCTTAAAATCTAGTAGCACTACCATAATTCTATCAGTTTTTTTCCATTCAACTTAAGTGAAGGGCCTGTTTTACATCAAACACGTGTTGTATTTGTACACCCCTTTTAAATATGCTACTCTCCTTATAACCCTTTCACTAGCCTGACTAGGGTATGCTTTCAGCTTTAAGTCTACATTAAAAAGAATGAGGGAATAACCTCAGTAGAAAGGGAGCCTCCTTTGTATCGCCAGGAAGACAAAAAAGGAGAGGGCAAGTCACAAGCACCAATCATTCTAAAATTTAAATAAATAAAGACAGGGAGCAGGACTGATAGTTCACTGTCCCTGACACTAGGCATTTTAGAAAAAAAGTGGCTTCGATCAAGTGCTGCTATTATATTCATGATATTCCTTCATCCTCTTTCAAGGGAATTTAGGACTAGAAGTGACATTTGGATCATCAACTTCCAGTCCCTTCCTACTGTGGGTGCCATATCATGTGTTCATTTTTGTAAAATGGACAAGCTCCATCTAAAAGTAGGGTTACTCCCATGAATAGAAAGTAATATCATCTCCTCTCAGTCTTTGCTTTGCCACGCTAAACAAGGCAAGCTTTTTTAGTTTCTCCTCTCATGTGACACATTGTCCTTCCCCCATCACTCTAGTAGTCTCTCTCTCTCTACCTGTTCCAGTTTGAACTTATATTTTGTAAATAGTGAGCATGTCTACATGAGATACTTATTTACTACACAGCAGACTAATTTGCTGCACAGGAAAGCATAACCACCTACACACGCATGGCAATTACAGTTCAGTAGATTAATTTACTGCATTGTGGATGGTCCCATCAGGTATGTGGTATCCAGCAGCACGGTAAGTTACGGTGCTTAAACATATATGTAGATGGTGACATTGGGATTAGTTTACTTCAGCTCAAATTGAGCCAGAGTACATTCAGTTGTATTAATTGCATGTATAGACGTACCCAGTGGTAACTAAAAGCGTATGTAGCTTTCCAGATTTAAAGAGGTACAGCTGTTTTCATTCCTCCCTGCCAAGATCACATAGGATTTAGATTTACAACATCTGGCAGAGAAAGAGAAATCCAAAGCTCTAGTCTACCAAGCCAGCTGCCCAGCTTTAGCCCAAAGCAAGTCATTCTACTGGAACAAACATTCACTTCAGTGGCTTTGGGGCACTCTGGGGAAAAAGGAAGTGAAGGTGGTATGTATGCTCTTCTCCTTTGGGAGCTTCTAGAGGTTACATATTATTATTTTATTGCCAGCAATTTCTTCTTCCTCCTCCTCATGCTGACAAGGGGGAGGGAAGCAGCTGCAAAAAGGTTTTAAATATCAAAAGGATGTGGGACCCTTGCTATAAAGGACAGTAGTAAGCTAAAATTTTCCTTTGGAGAGTGGTGAAACCAGTATAACCCTGAGTAATAGATTCTCCAGGCTTATGTCACTAATTCTTATGAAGGGAACGAAATGAGAAAAAAATAAAACAGATATGACCTATCTACATATTAAATATGCAAAGCAGACAGGTTTTTTTTTTCCTTTTACAAATTCAATTATCTCAAATGTTTTTGTGATCTCTGTGATCTGTACTGACTAAATGCTTTCTCTACATCAGGCATTGTGATATGCTTATGACTCAACAACCCCCCCCCCGAAACAATTAGGAAAGAAAAATTTGGAAGAAGTGAATGATTTAAGTAGACAGGTTCTACATTTTTATATCCATATAACAAGAAACATTTTGTCTTAGAGTTGAAATACCACTGAGCATTGGACCCTCATTTTTAATTTATAACAGCTATCAACTATCACAGGAATTCTACACAGGGATTTTGGGAAGAGAAAACTAAAAATTACTGTATATGAATCTGTAATTTAGGACTGGTTTAGAGAAAAAAAAATCATCATACATTCTAAAGACTACTTTTGCAAAGGCAAACATTCAACTCATTGGAGACTATCAAACAGGAGACACAAGAAGCCTTGTCCTGGACATTCTATTTTATTATTTATATGGTATCATTTTTTACAAGATCGTGCCCTTTAATTTTGTTCTTAATCTAAAGCAAAGTTTAATCTAAAAACATGTTTGTTTGTGTACAGTAAGGTATAAACATCTCACTATGTTAGTCATGTTCTACAGCAGACAATGCAATTTCATTCTTATTCACACCCCATTATAGCATATCTGAATATTATAATACAAATGTACCATCTGACTCATTGACATTCCAATGGAGGGACTTTCATAGATTCATAGACGTTAGGGCTGGAAGGGACCTTGAAGATCATCAAGTCCAGCCCCCTGCCCCTAGTCAGCTAGGGTCAAAGGATCCCAGCAAGATAAGCATCCAAATGTTTCTTGAATGAGTCCAGAGTAGGTGCCTGCACCACTTCTGGAGGGAGTCTATTCCAGGCCTTGGGGGCTTGGACAGTAAAATTTGTTTTCCTCATGTCTAGCCTATAATGGTTTTGGAGGAGTTTATGACAGTTAGTCCTTGTTATCCCTTGGGGCACTCTGGTGAACAGACGTTCTCCCAGATCCTGATGCACACCCCTTATGTACTTATAGGCAGCCATCAGGTCCCCCCTGAGCCTGCGCTTCTCGACGCTGAAGAGTCCAGTGGCTCTCAGCCTCTCTTCATAAGGCCTATTCTTTTGCCCTCTGAACACGCATGTGGCTCTCCTCTGGATTCTCTCAAGCTTCTTGATATCCTTCTTGAATTGTGGAGCCCAGAATTGGATGCTGTACTCCAGCTGCAGCCTCACCAAGGCCGAGTACAGCGGGAGGATGACATCCTGAGATTTACTTGAGAAGCAGCTATAGATGCAAGCCAGAGTTTTGTTTGCTTTACCAGCTGCAACATCGCATTGGTGGCTCATGTCCATCTTGTGGTCAATCATGACCCCCAAGTCTCTTTCAGCCATGGTGCTAGTGAGCGTAGCACTGCCGAGCCTGTAAGCATGCTGCAGGTCCCCCCTGTGCTGAGGTGGAGTACCTTGCATTTATCAATTTTGAACATCATCAGGTTTGTATCCGCCCACTTACTAAGCTTATCCAAGTCGGCCTGGATCACTAACCTGTCCTCAGGTGTGGACGCTGTGCCCCGAAGTTTTGTGTCATCAGCAAACTTGGTCAGTGCGCTTCTGACACCAAAGTCCACATCGTTGATAAAGATGTTAAAGAGAACTGGTCGAAGGACAGAGCCTTGGGGGACACCACTGGTCACAGAGTGCCATAATGATTCGCTGCCATCAACCACTACTTTCTGGGTCTGACCTCAGAGCCAATTTCCCAGCCATCAGACTGTGGTATAGCTGAGGCCACAGTTGGCCAATTTTTCCATGAGGAGATCATGAGACACCAGATCGAAGGCTTTTTTAAAGTCCAGATATATGATGTCAATCTCTTCTCCCTTCTCCCTCAGTCAGTTTATCAAGAAGGGTCTCTTGATAATTTTCTCCAGAATCTTACCAGGGATTGAGGTCAAGCTGATTGGCCTGTAATTCCCGGGATCTACTTTCCATCCCTTTCTTGTAGATACCACATTGGTCTTCTTCCAGTCTTCAGGTACTTCACCTGAGCACCATGAGTTTTCAAATATTTTTGCCAGTGGTTGGGCTATGACACCTGCCAGCTCCTTGAGTACCCTAGGGTGTAATCTGTCAGGTCCAGCTGACTTGAAGGTGTCCAGCCTTTCAAGGTGTTCCTTTACCAGGTCTATACTGATGCTGGGTATAAATACGCACTCACCCTGGCCGTCCTGCATCATGCTAGGCGGAGCAGTCCCTTTGGGCAGATGAAAGACCAACACAAAGTACCCATCAAGCAGATTGGCTTTTTCCTCGGTGTCGGTTATCAGCTGTCCCATTTGGGTCAGCAGGGGTCCAAGGGGACTTCTTATGGTTTGTTTAGTCTTGTGTGCTGCATGCACACAAAAAATTAAGCTGTGAACAGTAAGGAGGCGTAAGTAAAGATGCTTCAAAAGTAATTATTTTTTCTCTTGCGTTTTTATTTTAAAAGAGCAAAAATAAACAGCCCAACAACTTATGAGTAACAGGACAAAGAATTAAAATTACAGCTAAATACTGATGCAGGCCCCAAGCTATTTAAAGTGGTGCCGAGTGGTGCCAATATGAATTGGGCTGTTTGGGTGGGAGCTAAGGACTTAAATAGGTCATTAGAAGTAAAGAGGGCAGTATTTTCACTTTCGTAGCTACATATCTTTCTTATCTGTGCAGTTGGTGTTTTATAGCAAGTCTAACCAACTGCTTTTCTTGATATTCTGGGTGCTTACATGGCAGAGTGTTGTCTAGGCAAGGGTACCTCAGCCAGCTTTAAACAAATTAGCTCAGATGAGAAGCAGTCTAGTCATATTGCTAGGCTGGAGCCCTATGCTATTAAACCTACTAAGAAGTTTACCCTACACTGGGTTGTGTGAACATCCCTTTAATGCAAAGTTGTTACTCAAGACTTTGGTAAAGACTAAATCACCAGGCCTTTCTTGTTAACTCATTAATGAAGACTTGTGATACAGCACTGTCCATTAGCAGTTAGGAGATCAATATGCCAATCCTCGTAAAGATGAGAGAGAGCTTCAGAAAGCACAAAACCTTCACTTAGACTCTGAGTATGGAGTACAGCTGTCTCCATAGACTCGCCTCGGCTCTTCAGGACCCCAAACTGACACATTTCTCTTGTGATGGGATCCATTCATTGACTTGCTTGTTTTTGAATTCAGGAAATCTAAGTACTTGGTTCTTTCTCACAAACAAACATCTCTTCTAGAACGTCTTTCATTGTTTGTCCCAAGGAATGGCTGTTTTGGTATACTTAGTAAGCCTGCAAATTAATCTGCAAAGACTATGTTTTCAAGCCCCCTAGGAGGATTAGTCTAAATACTAAAAAAAAACCAAACATATCCCTTCCTACCAGGATTCTAGGACTTTTTTTTTGTTTTCATTTGAGTGCAAAGAACATCAAATCAGCCATACTGATATCTACAAAGAGTCAAAGCTAGGATTTCCCTTTTGATATTTGTTAGAGTTAAATACTCTTCAACTTTTTATATATCCATATTTATCTAGATCTATATTTATATATGTAGATATATAGATAAAAATATAGCTGTATAAAAAGTTGAAGAATATCAGCCTGTTTTTGGTAAGGAATTAACTAGTTTCTATTTTTCTTACATTCCAGTAAGTTAATTTATCAACATTCAATAACCATTACTTCGCTTATGTATAAAAACAACAAAACCTGAAAATGCATGGGTTAAGTAAACATGATGTGAAGGCACTTTTTGAAATGATTATATATGGACAAGGGACTGAAGTGTTATATTTAGGAAGTGTAGTATCTCAGTAACGTATGTTCTGATAAGACATGGGGGAATGTCTGAAAACCAGATCAGTAGTTTTTAGGGAGACAACAGCAAACAGCACAAAAATGTGCGTAATAATTTTGAATTCTGCTTCATACTCTGGTGGCAATGAAGAGCAGCAACAATCTTGTAATGCCATATTACACATCAACACTTCCATCCCTATCACTTTAGAATTATGCCCACACTATTATGACAGCATGTAAAGTTGAAAGAATAACCTGGACTGAAGAATACATGGTAAAAGATGTATATTATGCTTACAAGGCTCTTCTTGAAGAAAGCACATAGTACTGCTATTTAAACCCATGGATAAACATTTGGGACAAAAATGGAGTCTAAAGCCTGGGGAATGGGGGGACAGGGAGGGGCACACAATATAAATCTAAACAAAAAATCTGCCTGTCCTAAGACCAGTATAAAGCATAGCTAGAGTACATCTCTAAAGGTTTCTTAAAAGAAAAATGATAGTAAGAAAGCTAAATTATTCAAAGATGTCCAATTGTTCTCAGATACCCACGGACATTTCTAGTTGAGCTTTTTACTTGATATTTCTGTACTATATCACAAACACATACATTTCCCAACTTCACCCAAAAAATGACGTAAGTCTCTGCATTCCCTTGCACAGAAATGGTGGTTTCTATGGAGTTACAAGATAGTGACCCAAGACGTACAGAATTATAGACTATGATTAAGTTACAGATGATTCACAACATGTGAAAATATCATTTAGAGCATCTTGGTAAAATAGTTTTTTATTGAGCCCCTCCGTTACACGGCTGGTTTAGACATAGTTGAGAAAAAATTACTCCAAGGTGTCTGAAATGTCACAATGGAGAATTTGGAAACAAACTCTGAGAAGTAGCAAAGTAATCTTAGAAAATGAAATGGAAAGATCACCATCATCCTTGTTACTTTACTTTATAAAACTTTAAGTTGGAAGTTCACAAATAATAAAAATATATGATACTGCTTGTATTGGTTTTGTTTGCTTTTTTCTTAATATACTTTGGCAGAAGTGGATCAAAGGACCTGCATATCCAATGGAAAAAATATATAACTTAGCCAAGATCAATCTGAAGTATCAAAAAGAGCTTAAAATCTAGTATAAAGGGGTGTAGGTTGTAGCTGAGTTGGTCTAATAAAGGATACCAGATTAACCCAAAGAACCTTGTCTGTCTAAAATCTAGTATTACTTTTCACTGGGTGCTCAGAAAGTTGTAGGTTGAAGGAGAGGGGATTTAGGTCTGAGGCAGTGCTAAGTACTGTCGGCGAGCCCAGCTCTGCACTGTTGCCAGCAGGGCCCATCCACAGATGCCTGCCCCTCTAGTGGGGGAAGGGGGCAAGGAAGGTCCTTCAGGGGTGGCGGGGAGCTGAGTGGCTGAGCTGGGGCCCATGTTCTCAGGGGCAGGGTGGTTGGGAAATGCTGCTGGGGGAGAGGGGAGCGGGGCATGGTCAAGCCTCCTGGTGCACTGCAGGAGCCTTAGCCCAGGGCAGGGGGTGCCAGAGGTATCCCCTCCTCTTTCCTCCAGCCCATGCTGGGGCTACTCACTCCATCGCCACCTGCATGAGCTGGAGCTGTTGTAGCCACAGCTGCCATGCTCAAGCCGAGGCAGGATGGAGACTGCCTGGAGACCTTTGCCCTCCTGCTGCCTGCAGCATGGCTTAGGTCAGAGTCATGCTCGGCTTCATGCTGCTGCTGTGGAGTGTGGCACTGGTCCTCCCTGCCATGCTGCAGCCCCAGCCCATGGTGTGGGCCAGTGTGTGGTGCCCCAGCAACTGCCAGTGTTTCCACATGGGGTGCATCTCATGCCATCCCTACCATGTCCCCACAGACCACCATCCTGTGAGTCTGTGCCAGGTGGGGAGGGGCAGCTAGGGGCCCCCTCCAGCAAGGCTGGGGGGGCGGGGGACTGTGAGGCAGGAGTGAGGGCACTGGTAGGGCCAGAGGGCTGGCAGTTGGGAGTGAGAGTCACTGGAAGGGATAAGGGGCTGTAGGTTGGGAGTGAGGGGCATGGGGGAGGCATGGACTGTGGGTCTGGAGTGAAGGGCAGTGGCAGGGCCAGGGGGCTGTGTATTGGGAGTAAAGGGCACCAGTGTGGATGGAGGGACTGCCGGTCAGGAGTGAGGGGCACCGGCATGGCTGGGGGGGGGGGGGGACGGGACGGGGGACGGGGGGTCAGGAATGAGGGGCACTGGTAGGGTGGGGGGCCTGTGGCTTGGGAATGAGGGGTAATGGCATGGGCAGGGATAGGGCAGTGCCATATTATCAGGGCTGCTCAGCACCACAAAGCAGCTGGGGGGACAGCTGGAGCTGGACCCATATCCTGGTGAACAAAGAGGGCAGGGGAAGCTCTGATTTTCCATAATTAAAAAAACCTAAAAAAATCAAACACCAAAATATATAGGCATTTAGAATGTATTTTATTATAATGATTGAGGCACTGGTAGGCTTCCAAATTGCTTTACAATTGTAAATATATAAATAAAGCATTGTGTTCAACTATATATATGAGTGGCATTTCATTTTAATCGTGGAAAAAAATACAGTGGGGGGGGTGTTTAATCAGACAATTTGGGATTTTTAAACTGAGAAAACCAGGATCCCTGATTATGACTCTGGAAATCCTTTATTACTTAGCAATTAAGGATGTGTTATGAGTTTTGAAACTCTTAAAATCTTTTCTCTACATAAGTCGTGGTTTAAAACAAACAAACAAACAACACAGTGAGGAAATTGGATTTTTTTTTTCATGTTGGCAGCATGTTCTCTAGTATAAATCTACTGGAAGATGTCATACACTCTACCCTTTGGGGAATACATATTAATACCTGACCAATACTGGATTTGTGTTCAGTTCTTTATACAAGTTGATCTGTGTTAGTCATACACAAGACAGGAGATGAAATGTTAGGATGGTTAAGGAAACTAATGTTGAAAAAGTAAGTCCAAAGAAATAAAGAAAAGAATCAAAGGCATCTCTTTAAGCAAATGAGAAAACCTTATTTTTCCAGGTATATTAGACATAGTTATTCTATTATGAAAAAAACAAGAGTAATAAAAATAACAGCACAAATAATGCAGTAATTGAGGTGTCAAAATGCAGACACCAGGGATACCAACGTGACGACATTCTACTTCCGAAGCTGAAGTTCATCCGTGTTACTGTTCTGGAGACAATCAATGCAAGCGTCATAAAAAAAAATTATGGAGGTTATTTTTTCTATGACTGTTCCACTGATGAGTTTTCAGAAAGGTAACATGGACAACTTGAATGAGAGTAGATTTTTTATAAAACTTGATTAAAAAAAGGTTTGTTATGGCAGCATAATGGCGCACATAAGAAGCAGGTATGACCCACTGCCTGTGCCAATACTTGCTAATACCGTATTGTTCCACTTTCATGGCACAGCAAGTACTTTAATTTTTGTCAAGGTCATATATCTTTAAGTCAATCTCCCAAGAAACTGACCTGCTCAAACTCTTCCATGTCCACTTCACCGTCACCATTCAGATCAAACATTTTGAAGGCTATTTCAAAATTCCTCTGGGGAGCTACATAAGAAAAAGCACAGAGACCAAATTTAAAAATACCGATCAGCAAAAATATTCTCTTAAAAAAAGAAAATTAGAAATTAGGTTACCAGTGAGGTCTGTCATTAGTTGGTCAAAATTTATTATGATATCCAAAAGCATTTTTTTACCACTCACCTATCAGAAAATATAGTTAATGTTTTATTTTATATTAGAAATGAATGAAATAAAGCATTGCTATGCTTTTCCAGTAGTTGGATGTCCCAAAACTCAGCCACCAATCTTTTTACAAAGAATCCAAAGGTACTATATTAAAAGGCATGTCTAAACTAGGAGGAAACATTTACTATGTTCTTTTCCAACCTGAATTAATATTCTACTTCCTCATGAGGACTGAAAAAAGCAGTAGTCCAGCAAAACAAAAGTCAGTCAACATCTGATATTTCTAATATGTTCCCATTATTTCAGTGGTTTAATTTTGGACCTTTTCTGTACACCCCAGAATATAATTAGGTGTGTGTTGGTTGATAAACTCTAGTACTCTTTGGAAAGACAAATGTATTTCGTGGCATGGAATCAGAAGCTAGACAATTTGAGTTGCATTCCACACACTGCCTTGGGCTCACAAACTTAACAAATTAATCTACTCCTAAAATGTTTTCTGACAATTTGATATGATTTAATTTTTCGTCTTGTATAACCTGGAACCACTTAGCTAGTACCTAGTACTTAAAAGTAGACTACAGCACTAACCCTCCTACAACAGAAAGTGCCCCCAGCATAATCTTGATCCACTAGAGCCAAATATATACCAGCAACGTGTAACGTCTTTAGGTATGCTGAGTGCCAGCAACCTCCAGGGCACTAACTCACATTTAGGTCATGATTTTAAAAGCCCAATTAAAACTCTCATTTCTAATACAACTCACTTTGCTACTGCAGTTCTAATCTAACTGGAAAACACAGGCTGCCTAATGAAGTTATTTCGTTTTATTTTCTTAAGAGTCAGTCTGTTTGAATTTAGTATTTCCTATCAGTGATATTTTCTAAAAATTATTAGGATTAGTGGGTTACTTTGCAAGCACATATGTAGTACATGTTCTGCCTTAAAGAGTTTAGAATCCTGAAGAGTAAGTAGGACCCCATGTGATGGCTCTGTTTCCATTGAGTTTTAGTGTTAAAGTCAATGTGTTAACAGACCTGGGCAGATAGATCTTCAAAAAATTGAATATGACAAAGTAATATTAAGTGTAGGATAAGCTACCTTATAGTATTACACTAGAGCTGCAAACAGAATTGCCTTTGTGCCACCATAAACATTTTGATAGTGACATAACACACTCAAACAGATAGAAGTTTTAGCCCTTTATCACAAGATTACAGCTCAGCTGACAATGCTTCAAAGACCATGTCTGTCTCCATTCTCATTATCCTCAGCCCTAATTTGGCCAGTTCATCCATTAGCTGTGGATACTTTAACTTCTACAGTTAATTAGAATTATTTAAACTGCATCACAAAATCTGGTATAATATATCCCAACATCTTGTGAAGATATTAACATGTTTGATACTCTACACAATCCTGCAGTGAAAGCTAGCTTCTTCTTCCAAGCAGAAAGAGACAAAATTGCTGAGGCCTTCCAGGGGACATGGAGGACATTGCCTAGACAAAAATTTAATGTATACTTTATCAGCTCTGGATTGTGTATGTTTATTTTCAGCTAATTATGCTATAACCTGAATTCAAGGTCAGAAGTCTTTTTTCTTTCTAATATTATAAAAGCCTCAGTAACTTACTATGAAAAGATTCAGTACAGCAAATGTAGAAAACGTGTTAATGAGGTTGCTTTCTGAATAACTTTGTGCCTTAAGCAGATGCACCTCATCATTAAATTTGACTATAGGAATATCCTGTCCCTGGCCCCTTGATATACACAGCCTATACAGCGCTACAACTAATCCCAATGCACAGGAAGACTAGCAAGTAGGGTAAAAGACCAGCTTGGCTTAGCAGGGAACTCTTCAATGAACTAAAATACAAAAAGGAAGCTTACAAGAAGTGGAAACTTGGCAAATGACTAGGGAGGAGTATAAAGAGGATGAAATCAGGCAAACAGCTAGGGAGCAGTACCAGGCACACAAAGATGAAATCAGGAAAGCCAACTGGAGTTTCAACTCCAGCCCAACTGGAGTTTCAACTAGCAAGGGCCATGAAGGGTAACAAGAAGGGTTTCTACAAGTACATCAGCAACAAGAAGACAATCAGGGTAAGTGTGGGCTGCTTACCTAGTGAGAGATGATGTGGAAAAGACTGAAGTACTCAATGCCTTTTCTACCTCAGTCTTTACAGGCAAGGTCAGCACCCCAACAACTGCACCTGGCAGCACAGCTTGGGGAGCAGGTCAGCAGCCAACAGTTGCAAAAGAACAGGTTAGGGACTACTTAGAAAAGCTGAACATGTATAAGTTCGGGGTGGGGCTGGTGCAATGCACCCAAGAGTACTGAGGGTGTTGGCTGATGTGATTACAGAGCTGCTGGCAATTATCTTTGAAAACTCATGGTAAATCGGGACAGGTCCCGGATGACTGGAAAAGGGCAAATATAGTGCCCATCTTTACGAAAGGGAAGGATGAGGATCCAAGGGACTACTGACCAGTCAGCCTCAACTCAGTCCTTGGGAAAATCATGGTGAAGGTCCTCAAGAAATCCATTTCTGAGCACTTGGAAGAAAAGGTGGTGAGATTAGGAACAGTCAGCATGGACTCAACAAGGGCAAGTCATGCCTGACTGAGCTGATTGGCTTCTATGATGAGATGACTGACTGGGTGTATGCTAGGAGAGCAGTGGACATGATATACCTTGACTTTAGCAAGGCTTTTGATAGCCTCCCACTACAGTCTTGCTAAAAAGCTACAGAAGTACAAGTTGGATGAATGGACTGTAAGGTGGATAGAAAACTAGCTGGATCATCAGGCTCAGAGGGCTGGTAGTCAATGGCTCAATGTCTAGTTGGCAGGCAGTATCAAATGGAGTGTCCCAGGGGTCAGTCCTGGGGATGGTTTTGTTCAATGTCTTCACTGATCTGGAAGATGGGATGGAGTGCATCCTTAGCAAGTCTGTGATTGACACTATGCTGGGGAGAGCAGTTGATATGCTGGAGGGCAGAGCTAAGATTTAAAGAGACCAAGACAAATTGGAGTACTGGACCAAAAGAAATTTCATGAAGCTCAATAAGGACAAGTACAAAGTCCTGCACTTAGGATGGAACAATCCCAAGGATGAGTACAGGCTGGGGAGTGACTGGTTAAGCAGCAGCTTTGCAGAAAAGGACCTGGGGGTTACAGTAGACAATAAGCTGAATGAGCCAGCAGTGTGCAAAGAAGGCTAATGGCCTACTGGGCTGCATTGGTAGAACTGTTGCCAGCAGATCAAGGCAAATGGTTCTTCCCCTCTAATCGGTTCTGGTAAGGCCACAACTGGAGTACCGCGTTCAGTTTTGGGCTCCCCATGACAAACCGGAGAGAGTACAGTGGAGGGCAAAGAAAATGGTTAGGGGGCTGGGGCACATGACTTAGAAGAAGAGACTGAGGGAACTGAGCTTATTTAGTTTGGAAAAAGAGAAGACAGAGGGGGGATTTGATAACAGTCTTCAACTATCTAAAGGGTGGCTCCAAAGAGGATGGAGCTAGACTGTTCTCAGTGGTGACAGATGACAGAACAAGGAGCAATGAGCTCAAGTTGCAGCAAGGACAGTTTAGGTTAGATATTGGAAAAAACTGTCTCACCAGGAGAGTAATAAAGCACTGGAACAGGTTACCCAGAGAGGTGGTGGAATCTCCCTCCTTGGAGGTTTTTAAGACCTGGCTAGACAAAGCCTTGATTGGGATGATCTAGTTTGGGATGGTCCTGCTTTGAGCAAGGAGTCAGACCAGATGACCTCCTGAGGTACTTTCCAACCCTAATTTTCCACAATTTTATGATACGAGATAATTTAAAATTAATTTCTCTAAATCCTAAAGCCTTAAAAAGTCTCTAATGGGCCACCAGCCTGTTAGGGAAAATGACTTTTCACCCAAGTGTTAAATTAAGTTATAAAAGACAAAAAAATTATATAAGCTCCTATCTTGGTTCATGTGCAAACAGGCTATTCAGCAAGAACTGTAGACAGAGGTTAAAGGGCAACGATTCTGAGATTAACCAGGATTTTTACACTGTATGCCTTGGCTAAAATATCAAAAAGCTTACTAAGTAACAAAAAACCCATAAAAGCATTCCTAATTCATGATATTCTACGTAAAAGTCAGATGCCTGTTCTCAACCCCCTATAAAAGCTAAAATTAGCCTTGTGTAACCACTAAATGGACTTTAAATGACCATAGCAATATTGCTAACCTTTTTTTTTTTTCAATGACATCTTTCTTTAAATTACTGAAATGGCTCACACCTTGTGACTACCTTTGGTTTGATCATTGCCTTTGCCTCTTCTTCTCTTAGCCCAAACTTTGGTCAAGCAAATGCTATATCATATTGTCATTAAGCAACTTAAGACCACTCTAGTGTACAGCTTTCACTCCCCTTTCTGTTAATACTGTAAATTTTAATGCTCATAAAACTGAAGTTTCAAAGAGGAAACAAGCATGGAGGCATAAGGGGACAACCTGAGTGCCCTGGTCGGCAGCAGCACATAAGGTAGCATCACTGGCTCAGCTGCTGGCAGTGTAGGGGCTGAGCCAGCAATGCAATTGCTGCTATTTCTGCACCCGCCTTCATCCACCACCCTGGGTCAGTGCTGGGGCACAATGGTGCTCAGGGCCACCCCTTGTACCCCAGCCCTGAGCACCATTACACTACTGCTCAGGCATCTCATGGCCAGCTTCTGGATCAGTTCAACTTTCCAAAACAAACCTGCACTATTGACCTAAACCATCCTCATCTATTCTGGCCCTATTTCTTCTGAATAAGAGCTGCACATTTTTGGTGCTCACAAATAGCATACACTGGAATTGGAGCCAGTGTTCCCTTTAAGTTGCACTTGTGCATGGCTGCACACAATAAAAAGCCATGCCACACAACAACAGGGGATCTCTGCGCACCTACCTAATGGCCACAGTGCGGGGGAGAGGGGAGAAAGGAAGGGGACCAATTGCGGGGTGGACCAAAGT